CCCTAATATTTTAAGTTTGGAGGATGAACGAACTTGTGATTTTTTTCCTTCAAGCTGTTGGAGTATGGCAGGGCAGCGGTGGCGGTGGTGCATCAGGGATGGAAAAGGGCGGGGCGGGGTGGCGATGTCCTGCTCCTCCTCTCAGCCCTTCTCTCTCTCTCTCTAATGCTTCATATTTGCAGGAACGTATTTGTCATTTTGAAAGAAAGTGGATTTTTTTTTTTTTTTTTTTATTTTACTCACCAAAACGATGTCATTTTGGTGAGTTTTAATTTCAGCCATTGGATGGATCACTCTAGGAGATCACTCTGGCATTTACACTCTAGAGATTAAGCCTCACCAAAATGATGTCGTTTTGGTAAAGCCAAGGAAAAACAAAAAAAATTTGCATCCCAGTCTGATTTTTCACTCCCTCGAGCCCTCTTTCTTTCCGCACCGTATGTCAATTTTCTCTCTCCTCTTGCCGACGAGCTCGCCTGAAATCATTGTTGTTCTCTCTCTCTCTTTCTTGATCGAACTATCCAATTTCGCACTGAAATCGACTAATTCTATAGATAAATATTATGAGATATATATATATATATATATTTATATATTTTTATATACACAAAAGTATTCACTTTGTTCTTGGGCTATGGACGATTGTATGAGTAGTGAAGAAGATGATTGCTACTTCTATCGTGACTCCCTTGATGGAATCGAAAACGAAGAGTCTGATGTCCAATGGGCCCCTACGAAGGGTCTTTCTAGTAAGGTATTCAATCAATGCGTACAAACCAATACCTGTTTGAATTTTTTGTTAGGTTTTTCAATCATATATTTGTCTCTCATGATTATTAAATTTGTTTCTTTTGTCAGCTGTTTCTTCAATTTCATTCCCTATTAAGTTGGATGATTATTTTTTCCCTTTTCCTGTTAGGTGAAGTGATGGATTATTTCTTCTTCTTCTTCGTGATTATTCCTAATATAATTATTATTTACAAAGTTTCAAGAAAAAAATGGTACCCAACTGGTTTGTGGTTGAATTTGAACTCTGGATTGGGAAAAACAAAAAACAAAATGATACCCAAGTGGGTTTGTGCTGGGTTTGTTTATCTTCTTGGTTTGATTTTGAATGTTGTTGAGTTCTGTAATGGTGGAATGACTAGTGGTTATCAAAGACCTAATAACCTCAGTTTTGGAGTATGCGGCAGCGGCGGGGCCAGGACAGGGCGAGACGGCGATGTGGATCCTCATCTTCCCTCATTCTCTTAGCCCTTCTCTTTCTCTCTCTGTCTCTCTAATGCTGCTTCATAGTCGCAGGAACGAATAAATAGATCTGAATTTTTTTTTTCTTCAAATTACTCACCAAAACGACGTGGTTTTGGTGAGGCTTAATCTTAACCCTTGGATAAATCATTATAGGAGATTAATCTAGGATTTACACTCTAGAGGATCTTAACACGACTTTGAGCATAGGATTCGAAGTGTCAAGATCCTTTAGAGTGAAAAGCTTACAGTCATCTCCTAGAGTGATCAATCCAATGGCTAATATTAAATCTCACCAAAACGACGTCGTTTTGGTGAGTAATTTGAAAAATAAAAATTCAGCTTTTTTCTTTGAAAACATCGAACAAATTCAGCTTTCTTCTTTGATCTGTGAGATCTAAATAAGTAAAAAAAAGAGATTAAATCTATTTGATAATAAGATTGATTCAGATTTGTATCATTATCATCATCAAAAGACTGATTCAGATATGTATTTCTATATGCATATATGTTTATTTACAGACCCTGCGAAGAAGATTAAATCGATTCGATAATAAGGCTTCATTTGGGAAGCCATGGTTTGGGCTTTTTTGGCTATTTTAGCCACAAAAAACAAAATAGGCTATTTTAGCCATAACAAACAAAACATCACATCCAACCCATAATCATTACATTCTTCTCTCACAAAAAAACTCAAAAAAGCCAAAAAGCCAAAAAGCCTTTCCCAAACCAAGCTTTTAAGCCCAGACTAAAATAGCCAAAAAAGCCAAAAAGTCAACCCACTTCCCAAACGGAGGCTAAAATTGATTCAGATATGTATTTCTATATGCATATATGTATATTTACAGACCCTATAGTGCGAGCACCAAAGATTGATTCAGATTTGTATCATCATCATCATCATCAAAATCAAAATGAGAATATGTATTTCTATATGCATATATGTATATTTACAGACCCCATAGTGCAAGCACCAAAGATTGATTCATATCTGTATCATCATCATCATCAAAATCAAAATGAGCAACAAAATCAGCAGATCCGATCAACAGACATGGAGATCGGTGACAGAAGGCCTTCCATATCTTCACTGTAGCGGCGGAGCCATGCCGGCGTCGGGGCTGACTTGAACAAGGGTTGTTTTCATCATCATCATCATAATCATCATCCTTATCAAGGGTTGATTTGTGAAGCACTAGTGTATAGGTCAAGAACAAGAACCACTCACTATTCACTTGAATTAAAAGATTTGTAACATGAAGTAGAGTCTCAACTCAAAATCAAAGCTCTGGTCATTCTCTCTCTCTAACTCTCCCACGAACTAAGTGAAAGAGAAATCTAAAAAGTTAAAATTTTTGAAATTACTCACTAAAACGATACCATTTTAGTGAGATTTAATGTTAGCTATTAAATTAATCACTTAGGGGATGACTGTAAACTTTTAACTCTCAATAATGTTAGATATCATAAAAATAATGTCATAAAAAGTTTTCATAAAGATTCTCCACCCTTAAATTAGATTACAGTGTTCGTGATTATTCCTAATATAATTATTATTTACAAAGTTTCAAGAAAAAAATGGTACCCAACTGGTTTGTGGTTGAATTTGAACTCTGGATTGGGAAAAACAAAAAACAAAATGATACCCAAGTGGGTTTGTGCTGGGTTTGTTTATCTTCTTGGTTTGATTTTGAATGTTGTTGAGTTCTGTAATGGTGGAATGACTAGTGGTTATCAAAGACCTAATAACCTCAGTTTTGGAGTATGCGGCAGCGGCGGGGCCAGGACAGGGCGAGACGGCGATGTGGATCCTCATCTTCTCTCCTTCTCTCAGCCCTTCTTTTTCTCTCTCTGTCTCTCTAACGCTGCTCCATAGTCACAGGAACGAATAAATAGATCTGAATTTTTTTTTCTTCAAATTACTCACCAAAACGATGTCGTTTTGGTGAGGCTTAATCTTAACCCTTGGATGAATCATTCTAGGAGATTAATCTAGGATTTACACTCTAGAGGATCTTAACACGACTTTAAGCATAGGATTCGAAGTGTCAGGATCCTTTAGCGTGAAAAGCTTACAGTCATCTCCTAGAGTGATCAATCCAATGGCTAACATTAAATCTGACCAAAACGTTTTGGTGATTAATTTGAAAAATAAAAATTCATCTTTTTTCTTTGAAAACATCGAACAAATTCAGCTTTCTTCTTTGATCTGTGAGATCTAAATAAGTAAAAAAAAGAAGATTAAATCGATTCGATAATAAGATTGATTCAGATTTATATCATTATTATCATCAAAAGACTGATTCAGATATGTATTTCTATATGCATATATGTATATTTACAGACCCTGCGAAGAAGATTAAATCGATTCAATAATAAAATTGATTCAGATCTGTATCATCATCATCATCAAAAGATTGATTCAGATATATATTTCTATATTCATATATGTATATTTACAGACCCTATAGTGCGAGCACCAAAGATTGATTCAGATTTGTATCATCATCATCATCATCAAAATCAAAATGAGAATATGTATTTCTATATGCATATATGTATATTTACAGACCTCATAGTGCGAGCACCAAAGATTGATTCAGATCTGTATCATCATCATCATCAAAATCAAAATGAGCAACAAAATTAGCAGATCCAGTCAACGGACATGGAGATCGGCGACAGAAAGCCTTCCATATCTTCACTGCAGCGGCGGAGCCATGCCGGTGTCGGGGCTGACTTGAACAAGGGTTGTTTTCATCATCATCATCGTAATCATCATCCTCATCAAGGGCTGATTTGTGAAGCACTATTGTATAGATCAAGAACAAGAATCACTCACTATTCACTTGAATTAAAAGATTTGTAACATGAAGTAGAGTCTCAACTCAAAATCAAAGCTCTAGTCATTCTCTCTCTCTAATCTCCCACGAACTAAGTGAAAGAGAAACTAAGTGAAAGAGAAATCTAAAAAGTTAGATTTTTTTAATTTTTGAAATTACTCACCAAAACGATGCCATTTTAGTGAGATTTAATATTAGCTGTTAAATTAATCACATAGGAGATGACTATAAACTTTTAACTCTCAATAATGCTAGATATCATAAAAATAATGTCATAAAAAGTTTTCATGAAGATTCTCCACCCTTAAATTAGATTATAATGTTTATAATGTTTTATTATGGCTTCGTTTAGCAAGGAGGTTTGGGACTATTTTACCCACAAAAAATAAAATAGACTATTTTAGTCATAACAGACAAAACATCATATTCAATCCATAATCATTACATTTTTCTTTCAAAAAAAAGTCAAAAAAAATAAAAAAATTCTTTTCAAATCAAACTTTTTAACTCAAATTAAAAAAATCAAAAAGAAATCAACTCACTTCTCAAAACGGTGGCATTATACATTCAGCCTTCGATTAGTTTCATAAAATCTTTCATCAAACATAGCATTAATCTTTAACTCTAGAGCATCCTGACACGGATTCGAAGCCATGTTTTTTCACATAGTTTTGGAGCGAAACAAGCAGCTCCACCCCCCGCCACTTCGATCGCGACCTCCGAGAGAAGCTGATCTCCAAGCTCATGAAAGACGTGGAGGGCACTTGCAGGTTCTTTTCTACTCAAAATTCACCAACAACGACAAAGCTTGGTAGATTAGGGTTTATTTTATGCCTTTCTTCAACAATTGATTGCTTGTGTAAAACCCTAATTGAATCATTTACAGTGGTCGACACGGGTTCGTTGTGGCGATAACTGGTATTGAAAATGTCGGCAAAGGGCTCATTCGAGACGGCACTGGCTTCGTCACCTTCCCTGTCAAGTACCAGTGCGTTGTGTTCCGACCCTTCAAAGGCGAGATCTTAGAAGCTGTTGTTACCATGGTCAATAAGGTAAACACTAATGTTGTTTTTGGTTGGTGGATTTGTGAAGTGATTTGCAAATTTGAAAAGAAAAAGGAAATATGTGGGTGAATAATAATAGGTAAAATACAATAACTTTTTTCATTTTTCTTTCTAAATTTTTATCTAAATTCATGAACCAAAACAGCTTAAAAGGCTACCTGTTAGGGCTTGGTGAACTGTGGAAGCATCAATTTTGGCTATGGATGATTGTGTGAAAGTTTGTTATTGTTTTTGCCATGATTTTGAAGATGGGATTTTTTGCTTAAGCCGGGCCGGTTCAAATTTTTGTATCTAATCATGTGAGTGTATAATTCTTTCTGAATCTTGTAGGTTTTTAGCAGATCTTTATTTTATTTTATTCTCTTGTTCTAATTTTTGTTAACTATGATGCTTTTATTTAAGAATAAAGGAAAACAGAAAAGTGTAGTTGATTGATTGATCATTAGAATTATAATTCTGTACATACACAAATTGTTTGTTTGTCAAAATATGCTTAATTTGGCTTAGTGTATGAATACCAAATTATTGATATAAATTGTTTCTTCCAAGTGTGTCAGCTGTTGTAACCAGACTTTCTCCTGTCTTGGTGCTTGTTTCCCTTCAGATTATATTTGCTTAGCCGGAGTAGTAAGAGATGATGTTGAACAAAGTAAATACAATCTTTGGAAGTCACTGACTCGTACTATTACTAGATAACCAGAGCTTCAATGATCAATGATGTCAAATTTCATTCGATAAGTTTTCCTAACCTGAAATATTCGTGTTCTGGTACTTCTTCTCTTTAGGTTTTATTTTTTGCCATAGAATACTTCCTGCCAAATTTAATGCACATATATTTATTTTTTCCTTCAGGAGTTTTGAAGCCATAAACAGAGGATGATGAATACATTTAGTACTTTTTGAGTATGTATTTATGGTATCCATTTTATATGCACCTTAAGGTACTCTTCTATTGTTTTCAGTTGATACCAGATGATATGGAATTCCAATCTGGAGATATGCCTAATTACACAACATCAGATGGATCTGTATGTATCAATATCTATCTACTTCCACAGGAAAAATGATTTTTTGAATTTTGGAGTTCATTGATCTATGCTTGAAAATTGATCTCGTTGGCCCTTCGCAGGTTAAGATTCAGAAGGAAAGTGAAGTTCGGTTAAAGATTATTGGAACTCGAGTAGATGCTACAGAAATAGTATGCCCTCAACTTTTTGGCCTTGTTTGGTTTGTCTTTCCCAAAAATTTTTGGGAAAAATTCTCTACAAATAAGTTTTCAAAAGTAATCAAACCAAACAAATTTTTCCAAATTTTTTTTCCAAAACTTGTTTGGTTTATAAGTTTTCCAAACAAATCTCTCTCTCGTACACATCAAATCAATCATTTTTTCCAAAACTCTCTCTCAAAATAATTTTCCAAAACATCTTTTTAAAAAAAAACCAAACTAAACAACTTTTCGTACTTTTATCTCTAAAGCTCATCTCCCAAACTCAAACCAAACATACCCAATCTTTTATTTTAAAAAATAAATATTGTCAGAATGCGGAAATTTGTTGAGGCTCCAAATTGGAACTTAAATTGGTTCAGTGATTTTTGCTTCTATGCTTGTTATAGTTGATATGTAGAGGCATTTACTTCCTCTCATAGTTCCTCGTCTGCATATCCTTTGCATAATTTGTTTGGAGATAATATAGTTTTAGTTCATTTAAACTAGAGCAGGAATTAATTCTAAGTAGGATGTAATGTTAGATGCTTTGGATCTTCAGAAAATTGGGGAGAATTAAGGGAATAAGTAAGAACAAGACACTAGACCTTGTCAAGTTGGATAATTCCTCACATTCATGTAAGCATCAACAGTGTATAATTGTATATTTATTATGTCTGGAGCACCTCTACCATGACTTCATTAAGCATAAATGGTAAATTGGTGGTAGGTGATGGTAAATTCTAACACATCAAACTGAATCTTTTGATTTGGGACAGGGAAGGACTAGAAGAGGATTCTTTAGAAAATAAAAAAGCAAAAGAAAGAAAGGGAGAAAAAAAGAAAAGAAAAATGGAATCGTATCTGCAAATGGAGAAGTAGTTTAATAACTTCTAAACATACATTTATACTTGACATCCAAGAATTCAGATTTTGCCTTAGATGGTTGAAAATGCTGGTGTGATGACAATCAAATCCAAATGAGCTGAAGTCTTCTGATTGTACTATTGACTTGGGGTCGTCTCCTGTCAGGTGTTTATGGGCTGGTTTTAGGAATTCTTTTTACGTTTTAATGGTCAGAATATGGCATAGCTTAATTCTAGACCCATTTCTCAGAACTTCATTCAGAGGCTTTCCCATCAACTTTTTTAAACTTTTAGTGCTTGTAATATTTGTTGACATAATTACTTAACATTTTTAATATGCACAGTAATCCAAATATGTTTCGTGTTTTCTGGAAAACTAAAAAAGTAAATCGTTGCCAAATGCTACCTTATTGTTTGGGTTAACTTATGTTCATTATCTGATGCATGTCTCCCTTTTCGCAGTTCTGCATTGGTACCATAAAGGATGATTTCTTGGGAGTGATCAGTGATCCAGGCGCAACTTCTTAATGGAACTTTTTTATTTTTTATTTTTTATTTTTTTAAACATGATGCTGTACTCAGTTTGTTTCTAAGAAATGGAAGTGTTTCCGGTGTGGAAATATTTTGCATGTGAAAATTATGAATGAATTTATTCTTCCATTGCAGAAACATTCTGGAAGACAGAACAGCCATACTTTCAGCTCGTACTGGATACATTTTCCAGAAAGTATCCGAATTGTCTCTCTTAATTTTCGGAAGGGTTTTGGACCTGTATCTTAATGGTGTGTTTGGTTGGGGGATTTGGGGAGGGAATTGGAAAGGGAAAGGGAAAAGGTGTGTGAAACTAGGTGAAATGTAAGTATATTTTATTTACATTTCACCTAACTTTTCCTTTTCCCTTTCCAAATTTCTCGTCAAATCCTCCAACCAAACACAGCGTAAGTGATCTTCCACAGAAGCATGTGCTTTTTCTTTTTTTGAAACTTTTTCAGTAATGCTGGGAAAATTGACAAATACACCAATTTTATTTTTTGTATCAATGATTTGTTTGTTGAATTTTACAAAATGAAATGGTGGGATCAACATGGGTCTCATTGAGTGGCACACAAGGGGGCTGTTGTGCTGTGCCTTGGGCAGCCATCCCTTAACCGCCAATGATTACGCAAAGTTAAATTTTAACATATTACAATATCAAAATAAATTGTCGTTTGTTTTTATATATAAAAAAAAAATTCTTATCAAAAAGTCAAATAACTAATTATTTTTTTGAAAATAAATAACTAATTATTTGTGAACTCCATCATAATAAAGAGAAATGGTTTTTGATACAACAGATAGCTCACCATCTCAATTTACCAAACATCAATGACCAATACTCAATATTTTCATATAATTTCCTTTTGTATGAAAATAATTTTAAAAAATTTTAAAATAAATTTACCAAACAAAGCCTAAGATTTTTTTCAACCATGCCAATGTTTTTTTTTCAAGTCTTTAACAACAAATGTTTAAGAGCTAATAGTTGAGTGACTTTACCACCGGGGTGGTGGCATCGTGGATATGGCATCGTGGATATCGCATGTACATTTCATAGGGGTGGGTCAAGATTGAATCCTTGAGGACGCACTCCGTCTGTAGAGTAATGAGTGCTCTGTGGTATGTGAATGAGGTTCATTAGGTGTCTCAGTAGTCGCTACTTTTTATAGATTGAGTAAAATCTGATTTACAACCGATTAGTCCGGAGCCAAAGCTCACGAATGTTATGATGTCCCTATAGAATATTTTTTTCATCAAAAAAAAAAATAATAATAATAGTTGAGTGACTTCAACCTATCCCCTCATCATCCCTTTCCCTTTCTAAATGAGATAAATTCTCTCCCCCCACTCCCCAAGTCCCCCTCAATCTAAAGAGTGCAAGAGGTGAGCTCTTGTTCGGACTCCGAGTGGAAGTCTCGTGTAATGTGGACGTTTCAGGCCCCCCAAACTGTCCAACAGCCACTTTACCTCCCAAAACAGCTCCATCACCACCCAACAACCCCCCGTCTCTCTTCCCACCACCAGACCTCCGCCACTCTCCGCTCTTCAACCACCACCACCACCACTAACAACAACAACAACAACAACCAGTTAGTTCAATCTCTGTGCAAAAAAGGCAACCTCAAACAAGCCATCCAAGTCCTCTCTCACGAATCCAACCCAACCCAACACACCTACGAGCTCCTAATCCTCTCTTGCTCGCGCCAAAGCTCCCTCTCGGACGCCTTCACCGTTCACCGTCACCTCCTCGATGATGGGTTCGATCAAGACCCTTTCTTGGCCACTAAACTCATCAACATGTACTCTGATTTGGACTCCGTTGATCACGCACGCCAGGTGTTCGACGAAATTACTAACAAAACTATATTTGTTTGGAATTCGCTTTTTAGAGCTCTCACCTTGGTGGGTCATGGCGAAGAGGTGTTAAATCTCTACCGTCGGATGAATTTGACCGGAATTCCTTCGGATAGGTTTACATACACGTACGTGCTCAAGGCTTGTGTTGCTTCAGAGTCATTGGTTTCGTTGCTAGGGAAAGGAAGAGAGATTCATGCCCACATTTTGCGACATGGCTACGAGACCCATGTTCATATCATGACTACTTTGGTAGATATGTACGCAAGGTTTGGGTGTGTATCATATGCGAGTCATGTGTTTAATGAGATGCCAATGAAAAATGTGGTTTCATGGAGCGCTATGATTGCATGCTACACGAAGAATGGAAAAGCATTTGAAGCGTTGGAGCTTTTTCGCAAGATGATGCTTGAGAACCACGATTTACTTCCAAATTCAGTGACAATGGTTAGTGTGCTCCAAGCATGTGCAGCACTCGCTGCTTTGGAGCAAGGTAGGTTGATACATGGCTACATACTTAGAAAAGGACTTGATTCAATTTTGCCTGTTATTAGTGCCCTTGTGACTATGTATGCAAGGTGTGGTAATCTTGAATTGGGGATACGTGTTTTTGATCAGATGGATAAGAGAGATGTTGTTTCATGGAATTCCATGATTTCAAGTTATGGGATTCATGGATTTGGAATAAAAGCAATTCAAACTTTTGAACAGATGATTCACCAAGGAATATCTCCGAGCCCTATATCTTTTGTTAGTGTTTTGGGGGCTTGTAGCCATGCTGGGCTAGTTGAAAAGGGGAAGTTTTTGTTTGAATCTATGGTTAAAGAGCATAGAATTTATCCTAGTGTGGAGCACTATGCTTGTATGGTTGATCTTCTTGGTCGTGCCAATCGATTAGATGAAGCAGCTAAAGTGATAGAAGATATGCGGATTGAACCAGGACCAAAAGTTTGGGGCTCTCTCCTTGGAGCATGTAGGATACATTGCAATGTTGAGCTTGCGGAGAGAGCTAGCCGAAGACTTTTTGAGCTTGAGCCCACTAATGCTGGGAATTATGTACTTCTGGCAGATATTTATTCAGAAGCTAAGATATGGGATGAGGTACAGAGAGTGAAGAAGCTTCTTGAAGCTCGGGGACTTCAAAAAGTGTCAGGTCGAAGTTGGATTGAAGTTAGAAGAAAGATATACTCATTCACGTCGGTTGATGAATTCAACCCACAAATTGAACAGATTCACGCTTTGTTACTGGAACTATCGATGGAGATGAAGGAGAAGGGTTATGTGCCAGAGACCAAAGCCGTGCTTTACGATCTTGATGCGAAAGAGAAGGAACGGATTGTACTTGGTCATAGCGAAAAACTTGCAGTTGCTTTTGGATTGATTAACAGCAGTAGAGGGGACACCATTAGGATCACCAAGAACTTGAGGTTATGTGAAGACTGTCATTCTGTCACCAAATTCATTTCCAAGTTCACAAACAGAGAGATTCTAGTGCGAGATGTGAACCGATTTCACCATTTTAAAGATGGGGTTTGTTCATGTGGAGATTATTGGTGATCTTGCACAAACTTTAGCTATGATTTTTCCCCTCCTAGTCATAAAAGCTTACAGAGATTTTCTACATGTACAGTTTGCAGCAGTGGGTTATATGAAACAACTTATCTGCTTTACTATAGTTTTGCTATAAATAAATATGATGTTTTATCATCAATTTTAAGAACATTTCATGTGCTTTTATGTTTCAACTATGTTTGAATTTTGTTTCTAATATATTGAACTTGTTCTGAACTATACACTAGTTTCCTTGTGCTATGCTGCTAAGTGGGTAAAAACGTTGTGCTATTCTGTAAGGGTAATATGTGATGAACCTTACTAATCAAATGTAACTCTCAATCCAGTAACTTCATATTTGTATTTGTATAGAGATGTTGATTATGTTTATACGACAATTTGTTATTGGTTAGTGATACCACTTCTTGTCAGTATAATGTGATAGCATTGTTGTTTGGATTTTTCAGAGCACCTACTAATCTATATGGGTTGGACGTGTCTCCAGGCTATTATTTGTATTGGACCAATTTAGTTTGGACTTGCAAGCTCACCATAGCCTAAGTATTGCTTTTATGATGGAGTTGGGTTGCTGCGCATGGGGCACAGCCTCAACTGTCGCTCACTTTATTGAGCCCATTTCAGGGCACAATTCAATAATTTGAGCTGTTCATATTTTATATTTCAAATTACACTTATCATTCATTTTTTTAGATATAAATGTGATTTGATGAAAAGGTTACCGATATTCGATCAACGTAATTTTTTACAGGTATGTTTGACTCTATATTTTTTAAAATGTGAACGATTCATATTATCAAATTGGATCTAAAATGGGCCCAATAAGGTGCGCAATAGAATGATTCAATTCGTTAATCTTGTATGCTCTATTTATGGGGGGGAAAAAAAAAATCAAATCGATTTGATAAAAACAAACCATTATGATTTCTAAAATAGACCATCTATAATTTAAACACAAGTATAATGAAATTACATAATTGGGATTACTAGAATAGTTAATTTTGGGTAAATTACAAATACACCCTCTGAGATTTGATTAAAATACGAATCACCCCTGTGATTTTGAAAATTACATTCCACCCCCTGATGTTTCTAATTTCATAACAAATCGCCCCTTTTATTAATAAATCATCATGCTAATTAACAGTTTTTAATGATGTTAAAAATATGTTTCAATTAATAATTTAGGTAATTTTATTATTGTGTAGGAGAGCAATTATGAATTTCATTTTTTACTTAATTCTGTTAAATAAATTTTTTTAATACGGGGATATTTGTAATTTTTCAAACTATAAGGACAATCTGTATTTTAAGCAAACTTTAGGGGCTATATTTGTAATTTACCCTTTAATTTTTTTTAATAACAATTTACATATAATTTTTTTTGGAAAAAAAAGGGGTAATGTACAATCAAGTCCTGTTTTAACAATTAACGATAGTTTAAGTCCTACTCACAAAACTTTAAACCCATAAATCCTATGTTAATTTTATATGACCAATCTACCCTTACAAATTAAAAAACACAAACATTTGGTTCTTCACTCTCTCTCTTTTTCATGCCCCCTCGTTCCTCTCTCTCTCTCTCTCAAACTCCATAGCAGAGAAAGTTCTCAATCACCATGTCTTCTCAAGGTTCCAAGCACAATCGTCCATCTCATAGACAAAGAACAGAGCGTCGAGCTCGCTTGCAAAGAGCTCACAATCGTTCGTCTCTTGCAAAGCAGAAACGTCGTCACCGTTCTCGCCCGCATTGATGATGAAATTCAATGGCCATTAGCGAAAGACGAAACTACTGTGAAGCTTGACAAGTCACATTATTTCTTCACTCTTCACATTCCATTGCCGCCTCTTATCGTCTTCATCATTGCCTCTCACCATTTGTGATCCATTCATGCTCATCTCAAACCGGATCTAGAACTAGATTAGGAGATTTCCAAATATGGAAAGTCTAAAAGGAGGAGGAGAAGGTAAATGTAAGAGAGATAGAGTAGATTGAAATTTCTCAAAAATGATAATATTCTTAGTCAATACTAGAAAAAAATTGAAAAATTTCTTAGTTTTGATAATTTTAAACTGAAATCATTCTCTATTTTGAAATTGAGAACATTCTCAGTTTATAATATTCTCAATTTTTTCTCAAAACTGATAATATTCTCAGTTCATACTAGAAAAAAAATTGAGAAATTTCTTAGTTTTGATAATTATAAATTGAAATCATTCTCTGTTTTAAAATTGAGAACATTCTCAGTCTTAGCGTTGACCCAGTTTAACGGCAATGCTATTATATATACACTTGTTTGGGTTAAAGGGCAAAAACGCATTTTTACATGTATGTTAGGTTTTATTTCTTGGCAATCCCGTTTGACAAAACTCCTTTGAGTTGTAATTTTATTCGCACTTTTTATTTCAGTGAGGCTATGAGTGTTTAGATGCGAATCCAACCCGAATTGTGCTTTTCAGAGAAGTTTGTGATGATAATACTTTCAAGATTGCCACTTCGCTGATTATGACGGGGATCGAGCTGCCCGGTCAGCTCGCGGGGGTCCAATGGGCAGCGCCCCTTGGCTGGTCCGGGGCAGCGCCACGGCGGGGTCGAGGGGCAGCGCCCCCGAAGCAAAATGCAAAAAATGCATTCAAAATTACCTGTCCGCTCGAGCGGACATACCCGCGCTCGAGCGAAGAATCCCTGGTTCCAGCAGTTTTGGTCGCCTGCAAAAGTACTGAGATATGTGATTTTGCGCTCGAGCGGGCTTTCTGGCGCTCGAGCGGACCTCTGTTATATGATGCACATATTTTGCTGACGACGCTCGAGCGGGCTGTTGGGCGCTCGAGCGAAGATCGCGGGACAGATTCTATAAATTCGCGTGTTGGGTCAGATTTTAGGATAACTGCTCCAGATCTTCTTTTTGGTTTTTAGGGTTTATATCTGGGGATACTTTGTGAGTTTTCTTTGATGTTTTATTGAGTATTCAACTCATGGTTTAAAGAGAGTACATCAAAGGTTGTGTTTTGTTCTACAAAAGAGAGAGTTGTTCTTCGGTGGATTCTGAAGAATTCGAGCCTGAAGCTTTGGTGGATTCCGGGGTGGCTCATCGTAAAGACAATTCCGAGGTGAAGATGGGGTTGGAAGAGGCACATAGAGGTTGGTTCAATTAGGCGTTGTGGATTCGCTAGGTACTTGAGAGTATACCTGTGTAATTCCTTTAAATCTTCTTAGTGGATTGTTCTTGTGGCTGTTGCCCGTTGTTTTTTATCACAGTTAGAGGTGTCTAATTGTGGTTTTTTCCACGTAAAATCGTTGTGTCTCTTTGTCTTGATTGTTTGATTGGGATTGTTATATTCTGCTTAAAATTGATACATAATCACAAATCAACATCTAGGGGATTTCTAGATTTTTCAATGTAAATAGGACTTATTGATTCAAAATTTTTTTGACAGAATCTAAGCTACTACTAAATATATAGATAGAACTTTTAGGTAATTAATAAAAAATAAAATAAAAAAAATAACCGGACAAAATTATCGAAATAAAGCTATGATGGAACCATGGGCCCAAATGGGACAGTCACGGAGAGAAACCTTCACCAATCCATATAAATTGGCATTCACTTGCCGTGATACACGCATGTTGTTGTTTCTAAATCACTTTTTTTTTTATATATATATTTTATTTTAATAATTAGGTATTTATGTCAATTTATGAGCATCTCGGCCAATCTAAAGATCAGTTAATGATCAAAAAAATCTTCATTTAGTGATCTCTAAGTTTTGAAATGTTTGACCTTCGTAAAATTTGATCCGCAACCTCTCAAATGGTAAGAGCATCTCCAGCAATCCTCAGCAAATTAACTACCCAAAATTTCACTTTATTAATTTAGCTAATCCTTTTTTCAATACACATTCCAGCAATACTCTTTACTTTAACTATCCCCTTTAAAATATTATTTCTTTCAACTTTACTCATATATATATATATATATATATATATATATATTAATATATAAATTTGTAAATAGTTTGATCATCATTAATACATAGGAAAAAAGTAATAAAAAAATATATAGCACATGAACAGTTGCTAGCTTCAGGTAGCTAGCAACTGTTGCTTGGATCAAATTGTAGAAGGATTTGATGAGGCTGCTGAAGGTCTCTTTTTGGGCTTTGGCTTGCTACTTTGGTTGAAAATAGGATATAGCAAGCCTCTTGGAGATGCTCTAAGCTCTTTAATTACCTCTCCCTCTAAACCATTTTATTTTTAAATAATCTTAATCTTAGTAGGGACAGAACTCTTTTTCAACTTTTTTAAGGAATCTTTAACTTTAATTACTTTAATAGCAACAACTTTATACTAATACCTTTTTCAAAATCATATCTGTTGGCAAATTTTGGGTCCATAGAGATTAATGTGTTACTTGTTAAAAAGAATAATACTCCATTTACTTAAATTATTATTAACAATCTTATAAAAAGTATACATGTTCAAATATCATTAAATATTTAAATATTATTGCTTTTTTAATAACTAATCATATTTAGTCTCTTGTGTTTTTAATAAAATTGTTAATACATGTAGGCCATGTTTGTTTGGGTGGACATGAGCTTGGGATTGGACTAATAGTCCAATAAAATTATTAATCCGATGTTTGGTTAAACAATTCAAGTACGGATTAATTATTTTACACTTACTATTAGTTAAGATAGGATACATAATCCAACGGATTGGTTGTCCTAGGATTATTAGTCATGGGAATGCTAATCCAGTCCGCCCAAACAAACATGGCCGTAGAATTAAATATGTCATAAGCATTTCTCTTTTGTTCAGATTTTGAATGTGTAAAAATTTAAAGTCAAAAAATAAAAGAATAAAAGCGCGATTGTAGTAAAAGTTTTTTTTTTTTTTTTTTCAACTTATGTTTCGTTTCTTTTATTTTTGTACAAATTTAAAATCCAAACACAATTTTAATTTGTCCACAGCTACCATTAATCATTAATCCTCAATAATTGATTATATTATTACTTGGATTTGATAATACAAATAAAGTGAAAGAAGTTTGGCAAAGCAGAGTCTTTTAACTTTTTCTTACATTTTCACTTGAAGACTAACGCAAAGCTACCTCTATTAAAGGGTTTTCATATTCACACCATATAACGAAGAAGAGGGTAAAGTTTTGTTCGAATTAGTATTGGTAGTGGAGAGAGAGAGAGAGAGGAAGAGTAATGAA